GATTGATATGTTCCCTTCGCTTTGTTCTTTTTTTATCTTATATTTTATTTTATTTGGGGAGGATTGCAGGGGCAGAAGGTGGATATGAAGGGACTGGTAAATGAATGGTATAGAGATGTATGATGTAAAAGACACAAAGAATAAATAAAAAGAAGGAAGAAACACAATACAAAAACATCCTGTGTTCCTGGAGCATTGATATTCACAGAATGCTTAGGGCCTGCATGGGTCTACACCTGAAGGTGCCCTAGAGCTGAAAGATGTAGACACATCCCCCTATCTCTAACCAGAAGATATATCCAATTGAAAATTATTTGCAAATTAAATTTTAGTTTTTTGTTTCCAATGGAGTCTTGCTGATAAAACAAACTACTCTTAAGGGTAGACTTCATGCCTAGCAATAAACGGCCAACAATAAATAACTGTTTTATCAGGGCTTTCCCTTTTCTAAATCTATCATGTATCTGTCTATCTATCTATCTATCTATCTATCTATCTATCTATCTATGTATATGTAAAATGCCATGTATATATTAAAATTCTGTAACACACACATACACAGACACATAGACACACACACTTAAATTATGGTTTCCTGATTTGTGTTTTTAAGGGTATTCTGAGTGTGCAAGCAGTGGATCTTTGTGACTATATCTGTTTCTTCTGTTTTTTTGTTTCATTTTCTTGTTTGTTTTGCAATATTTGTAATATTTTATGTGTATTATCTTTATATTATATCATATTTATTATATTGTTATCCATAAGAATCCTGTTTATTTTCTAACTAGAGAAAGAAAGGGGGTAGATCTGGATCAGAGAGGAAGTGGGGAGGAATTTGGAGGATAAAGGGATAGGAAACTATAATCAGAATATAGTACATGTGGAAAAAAATCTATTTTGCAAAAGGGAAAAACTTGTCATTTGAGAAAATAAATGTTATTTTATATTTTAAATAGTCTACAATATTCTCTCATATATATATATATATATTGCTTCTGATACAAACTATTCTTTGCTTATAATTTCATGTCCTTACTCAAAATTACACTTTTTAATAACTACAAAAGTAAATATTCATTTATATTTCCAACCTAAATTCTCTCATTTGACTTTTAATGATATTTAATGGCGCATTATAGGATTTCTCTTATTACTTTATGTGGTGGTTTGAATAAGAATGAGCTCCTTAGGTTCATGTGTTTGAATGCTGATTCACCAAGGAATGCTAGTATTTGAAAGGATTAGAAGGATTAGAAATGTGGCCTTATTGAAGGAACTATGTCACTTGTGTATAAGCTTTGGGGTTTCAAAAGCCTATATCAACTCCAGTGTCTTTCTCTCTGCCTGCATATTACAATGTAGCTCTCCCCACCATAATGATTATGGACTAAGTCACTGAAACTATAAGCAAGCGCCCTGAAGGGCCCAGGCCCTTACCCAGCCCTCTGTTTGAGCAGTCATGATAGGATGCAAAAAAGACCCAACAAGACTGTAGGCCCCTGACTCAGCAACATGTGCTGAGCCTCCCTGCCCCCAAACCTTGCCCTAATCACTAGGAAGCCAGATAGCCTTCATGTATGGCAAGGAACCAATCAAAAGTTAGCTGGCAGGCTCTGGATGTGCTTTACTGATAATAGTGGAATGCAGGGCATCAGCAACTGCCCTGGGAGAGTCTCTAGGTACACCTATCTTACTGTAGCTGTAGCTGACCAATAAACACAGGATAGGTTGCCCAAGCCTGGAGGTACACCAATCCTAAGAATGTTGCTATTAAACTAGCAGACCCCCCAAGACATGCTCTTGTTCTACCTCAATACATGCCCTTCCCCACTGCTGCTCAGGGTTCTTCCTACTCTAACTGCTGTGTTGGATGAACTGAGGACCCAAGTTAACTCGAGTTAACTCATAAATTAAAGAGACTCTTTGCTTTTGCATCAGATCTGGTCTCTTGGTGGTTTTGGGGTTCAAAGTCTGGGCATAACAGTTCAGTTAATTGCTTCGTCTTTTATAAGTTGCTGTGGTGTTTCTTCACAATAGACAGTGACTAAGGCAGAAGTTGGCATGAGGGAGCAGGACATTGCTGTGATAGAACTGACTATGCTGTTAGTTGGAGGAAAATGGAAGAATTTGGGACTCTGTACTAGAAGAGTCATTGGACACTTAAAGTGGGGCTTCATGGGACATCTTTTTGGGAGTATAGAAAATAGTACTGAACATGATTTGTACTGTGAGGGCCCACACAAAAGGAGAAGTAAGTGGTCTAGAAACCAACTGCTCTTATGGCATTCTGGCCAAGAATGTGGCTGCTTTTGTCCTTATCCAAAAAATGTTATCTGAGGCTAAATTGAAGGGTTTTGGATTAGTGGCATTGGTAGAGGAGATTTCCTCGCAGCCAAACATTGACTGTGTCATGTGGTTATTAGCAATCAATCTTATGTAGAACTATAAGAAAAGGGAACAAGTTGGACAAAGAGAAACACAAAATGTATAGTTTGAGGAGAAAAGGAGCACCAAGAAGTGTAATGGAGGTATTTGTAGTGTTCAGGGAGACAAAAAGTTAAAAGGAAAGCCTGAGGTTTAATACAATAAAGGGAGTGGTACCCATCTAAGGTTCTAACTCGTGAAAAGGAATTAAAGAAGAGTTTAAACAGTGAAGGAAATCAACAACAGAAAGCTGGTGCTAATATAATTGAACAAGGTGGTTAATTCCATCCCCACCAAGAAGCAGGATTTAGCATCTTTGGCTGTGTGGTTCTGTTTTTTTTTTTAAGTCAAGTATACAAGAATGTGGTTAAGGAAAGCCCCTGACACCAAGACATGGGTCAAAGTTGTTTTGCATGGAGGACTGGGGATGCCATTCTGTGATGCTGTGAAGGTGAAGCCTGGAGTGTTATGGTGTTTGCCACTCCAAAGTGTTGGAGATACTAGAGTCATAGGGTACCTACCAAGGAAAGCTTCAGACTGGGTATGAAACCAATGAGGGTGGGGTCGAGGGAAGGAGGAAGAGACAGAGAGGCAGAGAGAGGATAAACAAACACACACACACACACACACACACAGAGACAGAGAGACAGAGACAGAGAGACAGAGAGACAGAGAGAGACAGAGAGAGAGAGAGACGAGAGAGAGAGAGAGAGAGAGAGAGACAGAGAGAGAGAGAGAGAGAGGTTGAGCCAACAGAGCTGAAAGGAGTTGGAGATCTGAAGATCCCTTGGCATCAGACATGGGGATGCAGAAGCTGGAGTTTGCCCCGCTGGGTTTGGGACTTGCTTTAGTGCAGTGTTTCCTCACTATGCTCCCCCTTCTCCTTTTGTAATGGTAACACATATTCTGTGCCAGTGTACTATGGAATTATGTGATCTACTTTTTGATCTTGAGTTTATAGGGGATTACATTGAGCCTCAGGAGAGACTTTGGACCTTTAACTTTTAAGAAGACTTGAGACTATAAAAAGATTGTGGGAACTTCTGAAGTCTCACTAAATGGATTTTTGCAACATGATATGGCTAAAAACCCATGGGAACCAGAGAATGGAATGTAGTGGTTTGAATAAGAATGTCCTCTTAAAGCTATTATGTATTTGAAAGCTTAGTCACCATGGGGTGGCACTATTTAAATGATTTAGAAGCATTAGGATATGTGACACTGTCTAAGGAACTGTGCCACTAGGGATGCACTTTGAGATTTCAAAAGTCCATGGCAACTCCAGTATCTTTCCCACTGTCCAGGGATCAGCATGTAACTCTCAATTATTCCTCTAACCCCTTTCCTGCCATGCCTGCAACCATGCTCCCTGCCATGATGATAACAGACTAAGCCTCTGAAACTGTAAACAAGCCCCAATGAAATGCTTTCTCTTATAAGAGTTGATGTGGTCATGGTGTCTCTTCACAAAGATAGAACAGTGACTGATACATTTTATATGTTCTCAAAAGAAATACAGAGTTTAGATTGTTGTCAGTATATCTGGTACACCTTAACATGACCTATTTCTTTTTTTTAACACAAGAGAGTTTATTGAGATACATGGGCAGGGCATACATCAGGTGAGGTCCCAGAGAAGGGGGCACACCACTGAGAGAGAGTGGAGACTTTGAAATCAGTTGTGAGGAAGTCACTTGGTCTTACCCCACAGCATCTGTGTGAGCCTCACAGGATGGGTATGCAGGCCTGCTATCTTGTTTCATAAGATTACAGCATAGGCTGTCTTTCCTGAGACTGGCCATTTGTACTGGGAGCCACAGGCCACTGGCAGTTGGTCTCCAGGTAACCGTACAGGGCTTCACAAGTCACTGGTTCGGATCCTAAGGAAGCATGGTTTGGCTGACAGATTGTGTGGCACACACTTTTGCTTTTGTGTTGTGTGCTTCCATCTCTACACAGACGAGATTAACAGACAAATGAGATAGTGTGAGGTCCTGCGTGGAGAACTGAATTCACAGAGCTGTGCTTCGACAGGGCTGAGTGGCCCCTAGACCATGTGACTCTCTGAGAAGGTGGCATTGATGCTGAGACCTGAACCAAAGGACAGCTGACTGACTCAGGACAATGAACATAAACAGCCAAGGCAGGCAGGAGGGGACAAGCAGGAGGGTAGGGCGAGTATTCGAGGAACATGACCTATTTCATATTTAATGTCAAGAACAATTTGTCTTCTTAACTAAAATTCAAATGTTTATGGTGTGTTCAACATATTGATGCACAAGTTACAGAAATCATATTGTAGAAACTAAATTTCAAAAGAGTCTGTGTAACAGATGTAAATAAACATTTTCTCAATGAACAAATGAGTGAGTTAGTGAGCAGTAAGAGAGTGAATAGTCTGATCATGTATGTACTTTATATCACTTTCAGAGGTTTAACATGTATCACTCACTACAAGGCAGCACAAAGCATTAGTGGTATACTTACAAACCAGGTATATTAGAATATGCCAAAAACATTGATAAGAATCTGATGATTATATATATTTCAACATAAATTGAGTAATTAATACATACCGTTATCAAAGTATCTGACGGTTGAATTTCTGGATACACTGGGATCAAAATTTGCCATTAAAGGTGCTATATACTGTGTGGCTGTTAGCATTCTATGTACAACTTCTCCAGTGTATATGAAACCTATAGCAAGATAAATAGGACATTTGTTAAGGAGAATTGCCAGATAAATAACCAAAACAGCTATAATTCAATTGCAGTCATATTTTGCAGGGACTTTAAAGCATGGAAAGTACATAGTGTCTTAATGTCTGATCAGCAATACTTTTTTCTGGATAGAGTAAAACTGCTCATATAATTTGTGAGAATCAGGTAGAATAGCTTAGCAGCAATCCGTGATGTGTATACTTTCCATAGTGCAGAGTATCTACTACTTCAAAGTGAATGTTAGGCTAAAAGAGTTTATCACCATACTAAAGAAACATTCCATTTTTTCTATTTTAATCTTCTGTAACCTTAACACTTATTTATTTCATTGATTTGTGGACTTCGTTGTTGTTGCTGCTGTTGGCAGCAATGGGAACCAAACCCAAGAACTCACACACAAGCCAAGCAAGGTCTCTAGCACAGAGCTACATCTTCAGTCTTGAGTTTTCCTAGAATGCAATGACTGCAATAAAAAAATCATATTCTAAATGGCAGTGAATATTTCTATGCTTTATTTTGTTTGTTGTTTTCTTAAAGCAAGTTGAAAGGGAGCTAAATAACCCCATGATGTAGCCTTCAAATTTGCCAAAACCTTTTATAGTCCTCAGGTCATATCAAGAAGATGCAGTCTACTTATTTGTAGATAAGATGGAGAAACACTGACTACTTTCCTATTCCGTTTCTTTGTGAGTTCTCAGCAGGTGCTTAGTGAGAGGCATTTACTGTGGGGGACTTGGCCTCAACTAACTTTTAATTGTTCTTGTTATACATCCCTACCATGTTTACAATTATTCACAAGATTTTATTCACATAAGTCTTATTTACTTTGTGAAATATCCATGAGAAATTGTTAATCTTATACTGCTTTTTGTCTCCAAGGTTTTTATCTGCCAAAGAGAAGAGCCAGTTCAGGAAACACTTGCTAATTTTAATATTAATCTAAAAAGACATAATCAAGAATAAACATGGAAATAAACCTGCACACACAATATTGTAAAATAAAATTCAAATCAAATGGCTAGTGGTGATGCTATTGGAATGTTCACGTAATTATGGTATCATTAGAGAGCTGAGATTCCTATAGATCACTTTTTAGAAGAATAAAGACACAAGATATCTCGAAAACACTGTAATATTCAAACCTCTAAAACTGTCAAATACTGTATCTCACTTATAGGCCAAATAAAGATTTCATTGGGATATTGTGGTTTTCATGCAAAATTAAATCTGTAGTTATTAGTATATTTAATAAGATTTTATTATCAAAATGATAATTGGTGCCGGGCGGTGGTGGTGCACGCCTTTAATCCCAGCACTCGGGAGGCAGAGGCAGGCGGATCTCTGTGAGTTCGAGGCCAGGCTGGACTGATAGCCTCCAAAACAATACAGAGAAACCCTGTCTCGTAAAACAAAAAAAAAAGATAAATGGTTGTTTTCTATTAGAAGAAGGAGTGCTGATATGATCTTTTCTTTTTATCATATTTCTCTCTAGATTCCCAGCACTTCCTTCAGGTGCACTTCCTCATAATTATAAAGACAAAAAACAACCATTTTCCAGACCCTGTAATTAATTTTTTCTTACTTTCACCATGATTCATTTGCAATTTGACCATTAAAATAGACCCTCCCCAAAAATCTACAGACGATTTTGAAAGTGAACGTTTTAATTAGACATGAAGGAATGCTTTCAGGAGGCATGCGTGCTAGGCAGTTGCTTCCTGACTCCATATTCTCTGTGTGGTGATAGATGACGGTGCTTCACTGAGAACAGAGCAAATAAAGAGGAAATTTGGTCACAACAGAAACCATTTTCCAGATTAGTGCTAAGCACAAGGAATTCTAGAAACACACTTAGAAAACGCAGCGACACTCATGTTATCAGACACACTTCATTCACTTTTCTCTCACTGTTTTTTTTTTTTTTTGGACTGACAGCTGACAGGTAGCTTTGGTATGTCTTTATGAGATACACAGTAATGTTTTGACTCATACATCAATTTACAGTAATCAATGCAAAGGTACTGTGTTATTTACATTCTTAACTCTTTTTGTAGTACACTGACTATCTCTTTTTACTATTTGTTTACCTCATTATTGCTGATGATCACTCTGCTGGGGCAGACCTCCAGGATTTGTTTCTGCAGCATTGTATGAGGTCTCATATCTTAATCCTCTCTCTGTCTGTCTCTAGTTACTGCTATTGGGTTCTCACCATCTTTCAGATCAACCATTTTAGATTCTACATATGTCACTATTTTATTCATATTTAAAACAGGCACAACATATGCATGTGCCTCTACATATTCCACAGAGATTTGACAAGAATTTATTCTCCTTTTACAACCACACTTTCTCTGGCCTGCATATTTCCCAAACTTTCAAGTTCCCATATTATAAAGAATTTTCAAATAATTCCCTAAGAATTAATTAAACACACAGAAGAATTTGTTTATGGTAAGAAGTAGAGTTATGATTCCCTCTTCTGCAATAATTGCAGCACTAAAGTAAATCAGACAGGCAGGCAAGATGACTCAGTGGGTAAAGGTACTTATCCTTTTTTTTAAATATTTTTATTTCATTTGCATTGGCATTTTGCCTGCATTTATATCTGTGTGAGAGTGTCACATCTCAGGGTTACAGACAGCTGTAAACTGCCATGTCGGTTCTGGGAATTGAACTTGGGTCCTCTGGAAGAACAGCCAGTGCTCTTATCTGCTGAGCCATCTCTGCAGTGCCAAGGTGCTTAGTCTTAAGATGGGTCATCGGAATTCTATCCTTGGTAACCAAAGGTGTAAAGAAAAATACAACTCCAGACAGTTGTTCCCTACCAACAACGTGAGCTGAGAACTATGGTGTCCATGCACACACACAAACAAGCACCCACGTGTACATACACACACACACACACACACACACACACGGACACACACAAATGAATACGTAAATGTGATAAAAGTAGATTCATTAAATAAATAACTTTTACAAAATGAATTATAATTTTAGTTATGGGTGGCACTATGCTTGCTGCAACCTCAATGAACTGAAACATGGCTATGATTACTACTATTACCATTAAGATCAACTCTGCAACAGATGTGAGGGAATGCTATATTCTGGCAGACTGATTTTTCCTAATCCAGGAAATACTTTTGAATTTTTCTTGACTATACCAGAATCTCATTTCTATTAGTAATTCAAGTTAGTCCTAACTGAACAGGAATCAAAACCCTTGTTTTTAGACAAAGCCTCTACTACTTAGTTCCTTACCTTACAGATTTTCAAAACACCATTTAAGGTGTTATAGGGAATGAAGAAATATAAGTTCCCTGAATGCAGGGTACACTGAGTTGGCTCTGGTTAGCTATGCAAATTAACACAGCTAGGGTCTTCTGCAAATACCCATAGTGATGTAGACCATAATTTTAGACTTTTCTTTCTCTAACTTGATGTCAAAGAAACAATATGCAGTTGTATTGTTAATTTTACACATTTCACGCTAAGTTAAGCAATGTATTGTATTGTTTTCTTCAAAATCCTTGATAACAGTTTGAGATGCTAATATTAGATTCCTTTATTTATTATAAGATTTGAGCATAAATGGCAGTCATTTTGTGCTCAGAAAAACGTCACTAAAAGAATAAAATCAGAGAAGCAAGCACGTTTATCTCTTTGAATTGCAAAGAAAAGCTACTGCATTGCCCTTCCCTTCAGCCTTAACCACTAATATATCAAGTTCTCAGCTTGAATCATGCTTACAGGCTTTCCTCATGTGCATAATCTCTAGTTGCTTGAATAATCTGATTTCAAATATGTAAACATCATCAGCTATTTAAGTGAATCAGTCACAGTCTTTTTATGAACAAATATCATTCAATGATTATACATCTTTTTGGTTTTCTTTTTACATTTTAAAAACACGTGTGTTGCCTGTACATGTGTCTATGTACCACTTATGTGCACTGCCTACAAAGGACAGAAAAGGGTGTCACTATGACTAAAGTTACAAAGGATTTTGAGTCTCCATGTAGGTGCTCAGAATTGAACCTGGTTCCTCTGGAAGATCAATCAGCCAGTTCTCTTAATCACTGAGTTATGTCTCTAGTTCATTTTTTAAAATTTATTAGGCACATGTGTTAAACATACTAGAATCATACTTATTAACCATATTTATATTGTACAATTAAAACAATCAATAACTACACAGGCAGTTGATAATTATTATGATACATAGTCACTTCATCTCTGCAATAACTGGGAAGGGAATGATAGTAGTATTATTTTCATTTATTAAATGCAATGTTTAATAAACCTAGGTTATTTACCAAAACTCTCTTAACCATTATAGGTCTTCTGATTCCAAATTCCATGGGCTCTAGTACTGCTTAGAAATAATGTAAATCTAGCCTTACATCAAGTCCTGAGGAGATCAGAGAGCTAAATGGCATTCCTATTTACTTCTCTTGTGGTCATTTTTAAGACAACCATTCTGCAGGAACATTGACAGCTCACATAGGAAAGTTTAAATGCCGTTAAATGGGAGTTGATAGATTACACACTCCCCTCAGTGGATCTTATGCCAAAAGAAGAAGTCAGAGTAGGAAAGATCTTTTCCCTATGTAAATACTAGAATCTGTGCCCTAGAGCAGAGGTGGAGTCACCTCAGCCCTGATGTTTCTATTAAACCTCCAGATCCTCTGCCTTTTAACCTGATAGTTTCACAAGCAAGTTTGATTCTTCTATAGCAATTCAATTTAGCGATAGAAGGCATTGCACCCAATTAGAGAATCTGTTTCATGGCAAACAAACTATCTTTTTGTGGTGTTACTAAATGACTAAACCTCCCTGTGCTTTGGTTCCTTGATGTCTGTTAAATGGGAGATGGGTGCTGCTAGTTTACAAGAAACGTGCTGAATATAACTGTTGCATGCAAAACACTGGAGCCAGGATGTAGTTCAGTGACAAAGAGTCAACCTAGA